TTGTCACTAAGAACACGTCCAGTGCCAGACACACAGACAGCCACTAAAGCACATCCCAAGTAATGAATCGTAACATTTGGTGTCCCCGAACATGGAGTGCTTCTCATAAAGAGCCACTGGATTCAATGTTTGTCTGTGAGACGCATCCAACTGGCTGAGCGCAGAGGCATGTTAATGGCACAGCAGAGCACAATGCATGTTATGAAGGCGTGGTAATAGCGCCGCAGAGCACAATGCATGTTATGAAGGCGTGATAATAGCGCCGCACAGCACAATGTATGTTATGAAGGCGTGATAATAGCGCCGCAGAGCACAATGCATGTTATGAAGGCGTGATAATAGCGCCGCAGAGCACAATGCATGTTATGAAGGCGTGATAATAGCGCCGCACAGCACAATGCATGTTATGAAGGCGTGATAATAGCGCCGCAGAGCACAATGTATGTTATGAAGGCGTGATAATAGCGCCGCAGAGCACAATGCATGTTATGAAGGCGTGATAATAGCGCCGCACAGCACAATGCATGTTATGAAGGCGTGATAATAGCGCCGCAGAGCACAATGCATGTTATGAAGGCGTGATAATAGCGCCGCAGAGCACAATGCATGTTATGAAGGCGTGATAATAGCGCCGCAGAGCACAATGCATGTTATGAAGGCGTGATAATAGCGCCGCAGAGCACAATGCATGTTATGAAGGCGTGATAATAGCGCCGCAGAGCACAATGCATGTTAAGAAGGCGTGATAATAGCGCCGCAGAGCACAATGCATGTTAAGAAGGCGTGATAATAGCGCCGCAGAGCACAATGCATGTTAAGAAGGCGCAGAGCACAATGCATGTTATGAAGGCGTGATAATAGCGCCGCAGAGCACAATGCATGTTAAGAAGGTATTATATTAAGTTTTATGATTTTTTTTGTATTTTTATTTTTTTGCATATTGTTAGGAGAGAAAAAAAAAAAGTTAGAACTGTAGAAGGGTAGGAAATACTGCATTTACACCAGCTTAGAATACCCAAAACATTTAAGGTTATCGGTGAAACCAGAAATTGTGAAGAATTAAAACAGCAATTGGAAATCCTAGAAACGAACACATTGGGATTATACAGAATCCAGGACAGAAAATTAAAGGAACGCTATAGTCACCAGAACAACTACAGCTTAATGTACGGCATATACAGCTTATTGTACAGTATACAGCTTAATGTACAGCATATACAGCTTATTGTACAGTATACAGCTTAATGTGCGGCATACGGCTTAATGTGCGGCATACGGCGTAATGTACGGTATATACAGCTTAAAGTATAGTATACGGCGTACGCCATACAGCTTAATGTATACTATACAGCTTAATGTACGGCATACAGCTTAGAGTATAGGATACAGCGTACGGCATACAGCTTAATGTATACTATACAGCTTAATGTATAGCATACAGTATACAGCTTAATCTATAGTATACATCGTACGGTATACAGCATAATGTACAGCATACAGCTTAATCTATAGTATACATCGTACGGTATACAGCATAATGTACAGCATACAGCTTAATCTATAGTATACATCGTACGGTATACAGCATAATGTACAGCATACAGCTTAATCTATAGTTTACCGCTTAATGTATGGTATACAGCGTAATGTAATTGTTCTGGTGAATATAGTCAGTCACTGCTAAGGGACACCTCCAGTACCAATAACTGCGATGGCCACTAGAGGTGCTTCCTGGGTCAGTGCTGCACAACGCTCTATGTTGACAATCTCAACCAATCCAATGCTTTCCCACCGGAAGCCAAGAGGGTGGAGCCAGCACTGGCAGACCCACACGTCACTGGAATAAAGGGGAGTTTTTATTCTATTTAAGGGAGGGCAGCCATCTAATGGTGTTTTTAACACTACAGGGGCAGGAATACACCCTATAGTGTTCCTTTAAACACATCCATGAGGTGTAAAAACTAAATGTCAGATAGTCGTTTACTATAGGTTACATGTCGTTAAAACTCAGCCCTTTGCTCTGATTTAGGAACATAATTTAATAAGACTTTATAAATGTATAATATCAGCATTCCCTGACAGAGCCTAAATGTATCTTCCTTTCTGATCCCAAACACAGGGGGTTGTTACAAAGTATCCATACAGCGCGTTTCCAGGAAACTCTTTACATGTACAAACACAACGGGTGGGATCTCCAACAGAACCATTCTTTACAGCCCGTTAATTAGTATACACTTCACTTATGGTCCCTAAAGGCAGAGCATTCTCCAGCTTGGTGTCCCCCAGGTCTAACAGCCTCTGGCTAACACAAAGAATTTACAACCTCAGACAGGAGCAAAGGCAGGATTTACAACTTTATACCTCCCAAGCATCCCAGTTACACACCCAGCCCCCCTGCCCACTCTCAGCTACCATTCTCTCCTTCCATTATTAGTGCTCAGAGATTTTGGTTTGTTACTCAGCATCACAGCTTTCTCACTTAAACTCCCAGCAACCAGCAGTGTGAGAATAACAGAGCTCCACAGCAAAACAACTCACAGAAATATGCAGTGTGTTTGCAGCTCCATTACTGTGGAGCTCTGTCATACATTTAGTACACATTCCAACACAGTCAGTCAAAGGGACAGATTGTTAGATGGGGTAACCGATATCTTCAATGAATAGTATTGGCTGCAAGCAGAAATATTTACAGCAGATCACAAAACGAAAAGGAATTGCGACTAAACTGATTTTTTAAAAAGTATTTAATAGACAGACTAAAAACCCTCACACACACACAAACCTGTAACCACAGATAAATGTAGTGACCCGGCTGCTTCTATAAGCAAAAAGAATTTCTTAAACCCCCTCCAAATACTTTAGCTCCAAACAGAGAATTTGAGACAGACAGGAATTCTTCCCGTGAGTCAAAACAACATTCCACATACTGGCAGGCGCAATCTCTCCAAAAATCAGTCACCTACAGAGTGCGCCTCGCACAGAGCAGCATCCCACCAGCACTACAACACACAAAGGATCCAGGTGCACTGTATTACACACAGGTAGCTTGCTGCCACTACTGCACCACACAACAAGCAATGTCCCACCACGCTACAGGGCATAGCCGAGACACCCCCACCTGGTCTAACCGTGCCATTCTGCAGGGTATGTAGGAATCCCACATACACCAACACAAGCAGAGTACCACCATCACCACACCAGAGTGCACAGCATATAACCACTACTGTACCAGGGTAACACCACCACTGCACCACAGAGTGCACAGCATCAAACCACTACTGTACCAGAGTACCACCACCACCGCACCACACAGTGCACAGCATCTAATCACTACTGCACCAGAGTGCTGCCACCACCACCGTTCAATGGAGTACACAACATCTAACCACTAATGTACCAGAGTGCCACCACCACCGTACCACAGAGTGCATAGCATCCCATCATTACAGCACCAGAGTGCACAGCATCTAATCGCCAAATTGCAGGGCAAGCAGGGTCCCATCTTAATAAAGTTTAGACTTAAAATTACAAATATTTATATAGTGCAAACATATACCGCAGCACTGTACAATAAGAAACAAGAAAAACATTAAAATTCTAACAAAACATGGAAGACATCAGTAGGTGAAGAGAGCCCTGCCCAAACAAGTTTAGTACTTAATGAGAGCAAAAAAAACAAAAAAAAACAAAACAAAAAAAAAACCCATCGTCAACACAATACTATAACAAATGAAACTGATGTACATAAGTAGAAAGTGTCAAATTCACTGAGGACAAGTCGTCTAAATATTAGCCTTCAATATAAAACAAACCAGAAACCCTAAGCTTCTAGGGCTGAATTCATTTTTTGGCCTGTTCTGTAAGAATGAGGAGTATTTTAGAGGAATGCAGATACTGAAACGTGGGGCATCCATGATGAGGGTCAGGAATGCACAAAAAGCACACACTCCAGGCGTGAGATAATATAGCAAACCAGGAAGTTAGAGTGCTACTCCGTACCAGGGATACAATGTGTCGGATTACGGACAAAATCCAAAAGGGTCAGAGATGACAACACTGCAAACCGCTGGCCCTTCCTGGTACCATGGCGGGTTTACCAGATGGACACTGCCAGATTAGCTTCCCCTGATTTAGGAAGTCACAGGCCTACATACCAGCACTCTAAAGAAATAAAAAAAATGTTTAATGACTCTGTAGTGGCACACAGCACATATCTAAATATAACTGGTTATATATCTGAAGTGACTTACCATTACCACAATCCGACACACAGTAAGTTCCAAGGATAGCTGAGGATACCTGAGCATGGTGGGAGTTGTAGTCACGTAACAATTTAAAAAAGTAAAAAACTTAATTCACAAATAAACAATAATAATACAAAGAAATTATATGCCAAGAACCAAGTGCAATTTTTTAGGGTAAACCTCGGAATTAGGTAAAATATTTGCTTATTTTTGAGGTCTAACTCTGTCCTTTTACGTGGTTGTTTGACAGTTATATCCGTGGCGTTCCTTTGGCCAGACGGTGGCCCCTGGCACTCACTACGTGTAATGTCTAGTCTACGGATAAATTAAAAACAGAATTTCCCAGCAAATAAAGTCCTTTTTTAGTGACGCCCAGCAACAGAAACAGGTGCATTTCATGTTAAATTTAGAACTCATTACATTTTTTAAAGGGGGGGATAATTTGAGACCCATACGAACAGCTGTGTCTGCACAACAAAATTGTCAAAATTGTCCAATGTCTGTACAAGAACAGGATAGGCACCCCAAAATCATACTAATTAATCCGCAGCACCCATTTATAATCTTTAAAACAGATTACACCCCAAGAAAAAAAGCAGCTACTTTAATTTGGAAACTTTTATGGCAATGTCCGTATATTACGCAGTATGGTTTTCTCATTAGCATACAGGGAAAAAAAAAAATATTAAAAAAACAAAAATTAATAGTGGAACATTTGAAGTCTTCATTGTAACCCATTGAGTACAAGATTAAATTAGATATCGCCCCTACTACAAAAATGTAAATAAACTAGTCCCCTTTCAAAAACGTCTGCTGTTTCCCCAAGAAGAGGGGGGGGGGATTACTAAACAGCAACAGACTAAAATAGCAACATTTTAATTAAACTCCCCCCCATCTCAGTAAATAAGTAAATATCTAAACAGTTTTTTGTCAATTCTTCACAACAGAGAGAATTCAAAGTGAATTT